CTACTGCACTGATTTTTTATTTCGTAATAGAAATAGAGTTAAAACTGTTGGAAACAAAAATAGCTATGCATTATGCAAGGTTGTCTAGGGTCGCCCAGTGTTGTTTTAACTATCATTTCAGAAATTAAGCACTGAAGTGAGTATTTAGCTACTTTTCTTCCGTTGCTAGCGAGTAATGTGTCTGAGATGACAATAACCCTCATGCTATTACTCCATTTACCTGTCATTACCTGTGTCCGTTTGTACGATAGAACTAAAAAGCCGTCGATGACAACTGAAAGCTAGGTCGTTCAGTGTTGTTTTAGCTCCAGCAGAATATTCACCATTTCTTCATCCAACCAGCTCTTACGAAATCTAATCTATCGTAAATAATAATAATAAAAAAAATCATTTCGCCAAGTCACGTTTCCACTGTTTATTAAAGCATTACAAAGACTAGAGCCAAACCTTTAATTCTAATTGACAGTTTGATATTCAAGTCTAGAATTCGTCCAGATGAATAAATGTATAAATCAACAGTTGTATAAATTATGTATAAATCAACAAAAAACTTATTCCAAGATTAGAAGTATAACCAACACATACCTGCACCAACTCTTTCCGTCCTGCAGTTGCTTTACAAGCAATTTGGTTCACTTTGAAAGAGAAACAACCTTTTTTCTGCCTCGAGACTGAGATCTTAACGGCTCTGTATATCCAATCACATCAGTCTTGAATCGCTGGAATAGGAAGATGATTTAGCTGGTATGTTTTTGGATATATTTGAAACTTTTTACTTATTTGATGTGGTAGGAAATTCTGCTGCACTTTGACATCCACAGAACCATGCTTCAGCTATTCAAAAATGGCCTATGAAATATATACTGCGAACTAAGTTAAGCACAAAGCTAAACGACTAAAATCAATTTCGGAGTCTTCCAAGGATTAGTACTTGGTCCTGTGCTGATTCTATACTATATAGCGATATACCAAGATCCAGTTCAATAATGCATTATATAATGGACATAAATAATGCCAATATTTTTATATCTGCGTACAATACACGTTTTGCATCCTATAATACCTGTATTATGATGAACATGCAACAGCGAAAATCAGTGTGAATCCAAAACGTATTTCAGTCTATATCTCTACATAAATGCATGCGTACAGACATACATGTATAAATGTATATGTGTAACAATATAATGTAAAATATATATGTATATATGTACATACACACACACACACACACACACACACACACACACACACACACACACACACACACACATATATATATATATATTATATATATATATATATATATATATATATATATATATATATATATATTATTCTTTATATCTTTTTTGATCTCAAAGTACATCTTGAAATTTAAAGAATTTCATATAAATGCTTATTTGTCATCAAGGTTGTGTTAAAATCTCTTTTGCATTTTATTTATATTTGTGTATTTAAATAATGAGTACTATTTCATAATTCAACTTGCTATTTGATTATGTCATATATGATTATTTTCATTAATGATGAAGTATGTTGTGGTGAGAGAGAGAGAGAGAGAAGAGAAGAAAGAAGAGAAGAGAGAGAGAGAGAGAGAGAGAGAGAGAGAAAAGAAAAAAGAAAAAAAAAAGAAAGAGTGAGAGAGAAAAGAAAGAAAAAAAGAGACAGGAATTCCCTCTCTCGTGACTGAAAATTTTATATCACACCCTTCGTCCTTCCCCCCCCCCCCCCCGAAAAAAAGGTTCCTTATATACGTTTCCAAAGTCCGAAGCAGCCGGATACGGTCGTAAAGTATGCGACAGAGATCAGGCTCTCGCGTATCAGATGTGAAGGTGGGCTATTATTAAAAGAGAAAAAAAGAGAGAAAAAAAAAATAGAGAGAAAAAGAAAATGAAAAGACCTTCCGTCCTCCCCCCCCCCCCCAGGTCGCCGTGACGATAATGTAAATCATTCCAATCACGAAAGATGATGAGATATTTTATTTATTTCATTCTTTTTATTTATTATTTTTTTATGAATGTTTCTTAAGGACATGTCGACGAGAAGGATTGAGGGAGATTTTCCCGTGTTCGTGTCTCTTATGCTATTGAGGAAACAGAAGACGATTTGCCGTGCGGACCTTTGACGAAAATGTGTATAACAGACATACATATTCATACATGAAAGAGAGAGAGAGGGAAGAGAGAGAGAGAGAGACAGGGAGAGGGAGAGGGAGGGAGAGGGAGAAGAGAAGGAGAAGGAGAAGGAGAAGGAGAAGAGGAGAAGGAGAGGAGAGAGAAGGAGAAGGGAAGGAGAGGGAGGGGGAGAGGGAGAGGGAAGGGAGAGGAGAAGAGGGAGAGGGAGGAGGGAGAGGGAGAGGGCCGGAGAGGGGGACCTGATGGCGAGAGGAGAAGCAGAGATGCATCGGGAGAAAGACCGAGAGGGGGAGATGAAAGACACGTAGCGGGCAGGAGGCAGAGAGTCACGCTCAGCTTTACAGAGAGATATATCACCTGAAATACTCCGATATCCTTAATATATGCTTACTAATACTCACGCCTATATGACTATATATACTACATTCTATATATATATTAATATATATATATATATCAAATTTATGTACAAGCTCAATGTCTATTCTAGTTAGTTCCATAATTCTTTACTTATCTATATCCAAATTAAAACAAGGCTAATTTTCGTTAATCTGATGTTGAATTTGTGATTTAGTCCTTGCGTCACCAAGCTTTAGCGGTCAGAGAAACTGAATTAAGTGATTTCATTAAAATGAGATTGTTAATCTGAACTAATTAAGTATAATACTTTGAAATGCCACACAGTATTTTATTGAAAAAAGAGTATAAGCGTGATTTATAATAAAAAAGAAGTAGAGTGTGTGTGTTATGTAGTATGTAGTTGTGTGTTGATGTTGTGTGTGTGTGATGCTGTGAATAAGTGTGTAAGTGTGTTGTGTGTGTGTGCTGTGAGCTGTTGGTGTGTGTGTTGTGCCGTGCGTGCGCTGTGTCGTGCGCGTGCGTGCCCCAGTGTGCGTGCGAGTGTCGTTGTGCCGTAGCGTTGGTAGCGTGGCGGTGCGCAGCGTGAGCGATGCCCGATGTGCGTATGGCGGTGTGCGTAACCGCGTGTGTCGTGCGTTATCGTAACAGCGTAGCGTGTGGTAAGCGTATAGTAATTTTCGTTATAGATAAAACTATGATAGTACAAAAAGCACACACAAGATCCATTCTCTAAGACAATTTCCCTTTTTTTTTCGAGTCAAAAATACGACCAACTGTTACCCACGGACTGGGCTTCTAGCGGACGAGCAAGAAAGGGTCGGCGAGTGTAAAGGGGTTTCATCGCAGAATAGCGTTCTGATAAGGATGACCAAAGGATATCGTGTTAACAGATATACAGAGGTGTATAATAACACACACTATATATAAGGAGGGAAGAAAGGAGTCTGAATGGCAGAACTATCCTCTAAGTTAAAATAATGTAGGAAATAAAGAAAATAAAGGATGTCAGTAGATAGAGTTCCTATTAGAAGTACAAGGGCACCATGTCAATGTAGTGATTAATTACTTTATAAAAAATAAGGGGAAAATTAGTTTAAACGTGCTTTTTATGTCTATTAAATAAATAGCTATATATTTCTTTCTCATCTCTCAAGGAGCGACAACTGAACTTAAGGAGACAACTCTATCACTCAACAAAGGGATGACTTACGCAAGCGCACGCACGACGCACTACACACACACACAACCACCACACACCACACACCACACCCACACACACGTATCAACACAAAGGCCGACAGCATGCACGACACAACACACACACACCACACCACACACACACACACACAATATATATTTATATATATATATATATTATAATTTATATATATATTATATATATAATAATAATATGGTGGGGGATTTTTCAGATATAAAAGTATGATTTCTCCGAATTAGTATATCTGCTTGAAATACTGATATTTTCATTCTAGCGCCAAGCCAAACTCCCATTCTTCCTTTCTTCAATCCTCCTCCTACCGCCAGTCTCCTTATCGAGCCATCCTTATTTCCCTCGTCCCATTCTCTCCTTCTCTCGTCCTTCTGCCCCTTTCTGGTATTCCCAGCTCTCCCCTGTTTACCTACTTCCTTCCCGCCTCCGTTGTCAGACCCTCTGCATGTACCACCGCCCGCTTACCTCTCCCATTATATGTTCCCGTCCGCAAGAAAACGTTCTTGTAGAGCCATATTGGGCCCAAACCTCACATCTTAAGCTCGTCTCTCTACTCCACCTACTTTTCTTTGTCAATATATTAACAGTTAACTATAAAACTTCCATTTGTGTACTTTATTGTTTCTTTCTACTTACTTTTTCCCAACTTAATCTTATACCTTGCTCGTCTCTTCCCTTTCCCTCGCTTTCTTGTAACAACTCGCCGCTACTCATCTCTTGTACTCCATAACTTCCTGGCTCATATCTTCTCTGTTCTATCGCCTCTTAATATAGCCTTTACTCGACTTGTTTAAAACTTCTCGAAAATTTATCACTTGTTGACGCATTTACTGTTTCTTCTAAATGGTATCCTAACACACTCATGAGGATTGGAACCGTTAAATCTTAGTGCCTTTTTCCCCCCTATCTACGTTCACCTTAATATCGGGCCCTACGTATTTTTTAATACTTTACAGATTTTCTTCGCTTATCACAGTAATTACCCTTCGCCTCGCCTAACAGCTCATGATTCCATCTTAATCTACGCTGTATTTCTCCATTCCTTTATGGACCGCAGTAAAAATCACGCCCGTGCCTTTGCACTCTTCCATACTTCCCCTACTGCCTCTTCCTTGCCCCTCTCGCCTCACCCTCTGTTCCTTTGCCCTCTCCTACCCTCTTCTTTTGCCCCTCTCCTACCCTCCTTCCTTTGCCCCTCTCTCTTCGTTCCCTCTCCCTCCCCCTCCCTCTTTAACTCTCCCTAACCCCATCCTCCCATCTCTCTTCCCCAGGACTGCCGTTGCTGCCGCGAGACCCACCTCCGCGCGCGCGACGTGGTGCTCACCCACTGCTACGACGGCGACGGCAACCGCATCACTGGCGACAACGGCAAGCTCACCGTCAAGCTTCGCGAGCCAGCGGACTGCCAGTGCTTCAAGTGCGGGAATTCGATCCGATAAGGAGGAGTTCGATCCCCCTCCGATGCCCGGATGTCGTGTTGGAACTCCACTCGACGCGTGATTGGCCGTTCGACTTCTGCTCTCGATTGATAACATAGTTCTACCTCTGCGATTTATTTTTGATCTTCAGTGATAGATAGAATGACTTTTAATCACGGCCGTTTAATGAACATAATTATAGTTACAACAGTGTTACGGGGCAAGTGTCCAAACTCTCATTAGGCCTATAATTTAACAAGTGATGAATAGAGATTTATTCATCTGTTTCCACCATGGGGGGAATTCCACTGAAAATTTTCCAAAAGAAAAAAAGCCCTGCAATGTCGAGAGCACTCAAAACATTCACACATAATTTCACTGCTATATTCATCCACAAGCTCACGTTTTACCCCTTTGTCATTTATGTCAAATAATACTCATGAAAACACATGTATATCATAAACCAACCTTCCTTCCTTGTAAAACATGTTTATATAATGACCTAGTACTGTTTCTTAGGCTAGTCGATGTAGCATACTTGAAGAAAAGGAGGAAAAGGAGACATCAAAGGATCTGAAAGTGTGCGTGACGAGTTCCTTTCCACTTCGATTTTATTGCATTTTTTCTACGTCTGGCAAATTGTCTATGGCTTACTTGTGCATCTTGAAATAAACTGTTATCTAACAGGCATGATCAATTGCTTCTTTTATTTTACCTTTATAAAGACAACACCAATTAAACGCCTAGAAACTCCAGAGATGATATTGCAGCGTGGTCAAAATCTACGGTCCATGCTCGTAATTCTTCACACACGGGTCGGCTGATGACTGACCAATCAGTCTGTAATTGGCCAAGGCTCTGCGGGGGACTGTGCTAGACTTGGTAATTAATGAATAGAAACCCATCTACTGGCTTCTGACAGTGTTATGTACACATGGCACTGTCTATACCTTCCCTAGTTGTGGAACAAGCATTTCGGTTATTTGTGTTTGATGACGGACTAATCCCCCGAGCCTGCTGTGGTACTTGTAACACCATAATTTTAATAAATCCTTCCATGACTACACAGGAAGCAGGAATGGGATAAGTTAAAGGCCTGCTCACACGGACGAGTAACGGTATAAGTGACATCATACAAAACTACGAGGAATCTACTGTTTTACTTGAGTAGTCCGCCTGTGACGTCATCCCTGTTCGTGCCATGTTGTAGTTCCCGAAGTATTGTGCGGCTTTCATAAACGTTTGACTGAGCCAATCTTTGCATTATATTCTATTTTATTTCTTTACACAGAAGACAAGCATCATTCTACACAATATTTTCTAGTCGCCATGCTTATCACACGTTATAGCACTGTCGGGCACGCATATTCATCAACTTGACCTACTGGCCCGACGGACACGCCCGCTCGTCTGGACAAGCCTTTTGGGTCTCCTCTTTCCGAATTGGGAGTCGTTTCTTCATCACTGGTATCTCTCCAACTCTTGAGAAAGTCGCCTACTCACATGCACAAACGCAAGCACACATACACACACACACGCGCATATGTGGGTTTAAGAAATGAGTGATGGTTACTACACCTCCCCCTTGACTACGTCTTCTCAATGTATTCGTCGGTTTCTGTGTCACTTGTAAACAAAGATAACGGGAAAGAGAACAACTTTCAAGTCCAGTAATATCAAGATCACTTACTCAAGGAAGTATATTTACGAATGAGCCCTTTAGATTTAGTACTGTTACGAGAACATTGTCTTTTACTTTCCAATTCTGTTGGATTCGTTCAGAGCTTTTAGGAGATAAGGTGACAGATGTATAAGGCTATAATGCCTGAGGGGTTGATGGTGTAAATGCGCAGGGATCAGAGGCTTTGTCAACTAATGAATTAGTGTTAAGGGGATGCATCTATAGAAGTTTACACTTACTAATTACCCAGTTTCAAATTAATACGTTTTTTTAACCAGTTCCTTGAGTCATACTTTTGCTAGGTTCCTCCGCTCGTGATGTCATCTCTGCCTATTTATTTAATATTTATCAATTAATAAAATTTCTGCTATCATATAGGGTCATTAACGGGGTATTCAAGATTTAGCGATAGAGTAAGGCTAGGGGAGGGGGGGGGGAGGCCCCATGTAAGGAAAGGCCATACACCACTACATTAAAGCACTGTAGCAAAAATCTTAAAAATGAGTTAACAATTAGGACATATGTTAGATGTCAAAGGTTTTAGAGCGCTGTAGGTTAATATGGCAGTGAGAAGGGTAAAGCGGGAAGAGCAAATGGAGTACAAAGGTCGTTCATGATACAAAGCTCCTTTCATCCTTTTAGCACGGCTTTACCTCTTTAGAATGCGGATAGAAGGGGATGAAGAGAAGGAAAATAAAAGGGGGAGAAGAAAATACCATGCAAAATTAGTTGATGCAAGGGCTGAGGTCCAAGGTAGGGTGATCCCCTCAGTCTCCATCTCCTAAGCCCCCCACGACAACTGTTAATTGTTAGCTTTTAAAGGCACTACCTCTCTCGTAGATAAGGCTCAGGCCCTGCCCACACGCTTGGATCGTGCCCTAGCACTGTTGGGTACAGCTTGATCAGGTGGATGAGGCCCTGACTGCATCACCTGACCGGGTATGGGCAGAAAAGGCCTGTCCAGACGAGTGGGCCCAACCGGCGGGCATGCCTATTATCCATGCCTGTTAATTGGCACACCTGATGAGCAAGCCATCAAATTGCCCAAGCGCCCGATGAACGACCTCACCAGGGAGTACCCGGTAGCTCGAGCATCTGCTATACTGTTTCTGATGTCTTTTTTTTCACTGTATTTGGTTCCCCCTTTGCTAGTATGGTATAAAAAGTGTCTCCACCGATTCTAAGTATGTTCTGAATTTACTCTTGTCTTACCGTTCCCCCCCTGTTGTGTGGCTTCCATAAAGACCTTTTAAGCCAATATTTGAATCATATTCTTATCTTCATACATAAAGCAATATTCATGCTACACAATATGTTCACGGTAATGCTGGGAACTATGCTTATCGTATCGTACCTATCACACGTTATTTGCATCGGCGGGCAAGCCTTTTCATCAACTCGGCCGTGTGGAGTCATGGGCATTCCCAACAGAATTTGTGCACCAACAGCACTGCCCGCCAGACACACCGTATCTGGACAGGCAGTGTCCTGATAGGTGCGATAGGGGCATGGCCAGGTGACGTCATAGGCGGGCAATCTACATATTAAACAACCAGACTTTAAGTGGAATCGATTGTTTGGCCAGTAGTCTACCCATCGCTGACGCCATCACTCTGGCATGCCCAATTAGGCCCATTCCTCCGCTTCTTTGCCTCTCATCAATGGGCAATCCAGGAGAATGTCCATGCTGTAGTCAAGCGAATTCACCAGTCCGTCAATGTCACCAAACTTTTTCAAAACATTTTCTTTCCTGTTCACTGTGATAATGAACATAGAATATGAAAACATGAGAATAGTTCAACATGGCAAAATAGTATAATTAGATTTTGGTTACATTTCTTAATGTCATAACCGGGTAAAACCGAGAAAACCATCAAAGCCCATCGTGCACAGCTACATCTACTAGCCCTACCAAGGAAGAAAAGGGCATGCTAAACAAGCAGTGATGGGGCTCTATGTTGTCCCACATGGATCTTGTCAAAGCTGCACTGGTTCATGAGATGAGTGTAGTAGAATAACCATGGTGTACGATAAAGGTTACAATAGTGAAATATTGTGTAGTACAGGGGTTACCAACCTGGGGGCCATGGAGCAATAAGAAAATCATGACATTGAGTTGAGCTGAATTTTGTCTCGCCTACAGTGCCAACATACAACTCTCACGTATTAATATATTGGGATCTTTCCATACCGTATTCTTGTGCTATAGTACCAACACCATTAATAACTAGTAATGACAATATGAAAAGATGATAATCACTGAAAGGGGCCAGATATATATATTGGTTGTGGGCCACAGAAAGAAAAAGGTTGGGAACCACTGTAGTATAACAACGCACATTCAAGAAAGTCTAAACCTCCATATGGTCTATATGTAACCGCACGGCTAGCATCAATATTTCACCATCTTGTAAATTGGTTTCAGCTCCCACAGACATGCAGAAAGTCCATCAGCAGGCAACCTATTTGTCCATGGAAACTGCTTTCTCATATGGACTTGTCACTAACTTTCTGTAGTACTCCATGCCTTTGCTAACTGGATGAGATGAATGAGAATCTTGGATGTTTGCAAACTGAAAGTGCCCCTAGTACTCTGATGGGTAGTGCTCAGTTGAAATTTTATTTTTGGGTCCTTAAAATGTCAGCATGTATTGAACCAATATAGGTTTTGTTTTCATTTTTTAAATCTAAGATGTTAACATCTAAGCCTTGCATATAGTACCACTACACCCTCCCTGTTACTATCTCAGGGATATTCTTTTTCAATCTCTGTACTTCTAATACTGCTTCACTCAGCCTTCCGAGTCTTCACATTAGATAGATAAAGATAAATTTCCAATGTTCCTTTCTTAGCTTGCGTATCATTTTCTACAGGATTTGTTTTCAAAGGTGACAACACTTACAATATCAATGCAGCAGTGATGAATACGAGGCGATGCAATGCCATAGGCTTGGATATTCAAAATATGGTACACGGATAACCTTTGCATGCGAAGGAATGCATGGGATATGCATTATCCTAGCTTTGCTCATCACATGCACGTAAGTATGTATCTTGACAATTAAGTGCTCCTACTCAGTAATTGCCAACACAATTTGCTCCTTGGCATAATTAACTACCTAAGATGGAAACAACAAAATTTAGATTGTTAAAAGATTAAAGATTGTTTTAATTCTATTTGTTACAATTGGATATTCTTTGTTGTGACATGGTGTTTTATTTTACTTCTAAATCGCCCCGTGTGCAACGAATGGCTGGGGTGACCATCCACTGGCAGCTTGCGGGATTGGACGCTGGTCAGCAAGCTTGCTAGACGAACACCCTAACTACTGCACCACACAGCTAATGATGTCCCGTACCTTTTCCTTTACCCGGCTATCTTGTTAACTCCTCCATCTACTTTTCCTCATTTTACCTTCCTACCATTCCCTATTCTATTCATAAGATTAGTGTTCATATTGTACGCAAATGCCAGACTGCCAACACATGTGACTGTGCCCTTGCTGTTCTCAGTGACAATTGTGTATTTTTTGTACAGTAAAGATCTGCGATTCATTTTCTATCCCCTCAGTTTTTTATTTGTATTTCTTAATATGTTTTATCGTTTTTATTATTGTTGTTACATACGTCGATACAGTTTCATGCAGATCATATGAAAGTTTAGCCATGTTTTGGTTCATCAAAGGGACGCAGTGATTGCAGGTTTGGTAATCCAGTCTTATTTTATGTTTCCTGAGCTACCAACTCTACCAAAACATCTAAAGCTTTCTGTAACATGGTATGATCTATAACTTATATAATGTGCAATTTACATATAAAAAACAAACAAAAAAAACTGCTGTTGTATAATACAACACAATATTTACATATATACATTTTTTTCATATATTCCTATGAAGTTTGTTTTTTGTACAAAACTATATGAAGTGCATTACATAACATGTAAAATTTGTATTAAATGCCAATCCTTATGTCCGATAAAATCTGAAAACCTGTATATCTAGAATTCATTTTACTTTTGGTATAATGTTATTTCGCATATACACAATAACATCACATTCGGAGCAGTAAACAGTCACAAGCCCCGAACGCAAATTGATTGAAGCAATGCTAGGATCCAGAAGATGCCCGAGAGGACATTCGTCGACTAGCTCTTCCAGCATCACGTAGGAACATGTTGCTATCTCTTGGCTGAGAGGGCGTGGCTTCGGTAGGTCTTTCACATCACTGCGACCTAGACGGCAAATTTTACACTTGATTTTGGTCCTTGTGCTCAACACCTTTGGACGTCTAGGCGGAGAATCAGTCTTGCCAAATAACCGCTGCATTCTGCATTTCTTTGACTCCCGTCGTATGACTGATCCGTTTTTACTTCCTGTATGCTTGGTCTGATTAAGATTTTCATCTGATTGCTGATCAGGTCGTATGACTGACGTGTTTTTACCTCCCGTATCCTTAGTCTGATTAAAGTTTTCATCTGATAGTTGATCAAGTCTACCTGCAAAGAAAAAGTACAACGATCTTAGGATATGTATCTGACAAACTAAAGAAAAACAAAGTACTTTCCTAAAGAATGGTTTACCTGGTTGTACTTTGGTTTCCTCCTCTTGTTTCCTCACATCATCTCTGGGCTTCACATCTTCTTCGAGCTGTACATTTTGGACACAAACAGCTTCAACAATAGAGGTCTTCAAGAACGAATCTTCAAGTATGAATTCCCCTCGATCAGCAAACTCCTCCTTTATGAAAGTTCTCCCTTTCGTTTGGTCTGAAAGACCACAATCACGCATACCAATATCTTGCATAGCAGTATCTTCAGCACTTTCAGTTTTTACATTCTTGAAAGAGATGTCTTCTTGGAGAAAGTTTTCCGTTTTGATTATAGATTTTACATCGCTAACTGGTTCGCAATACTGTATGAGAGATTTTACTTCGCTAGTTCGTTCACAATACTGAGAGTCATTGCTGAAAACTGCAGGATCTTCCTCTAACTGTTCGTCAAGGGTAGGCTCTTCTTTCTTAATGGGTACCAAATTATGCACATTACGTCCTCTGGATCGATATCCAGAACAGTGGCCATGTCCTATCATTTCAGGCATTGTGCATGGTGTACTAACAGGATAGCTAGTATTACTCTCTGTCGTTGGAGGTACTGGGTAACTAACATCATCTTGAGTTACAGTGTAACTGAGACTATCTTGTGGTATTTGTGGTAAAGGGTAACTGATGCTATCTGGAGACTTTGAAGGTACAGGGTAGTTGACACTATCTAGGGACCTTGGAGGTACTGGGTAGCTGATACTATCTTGAGGTCTTGGTGGTGCTGGATAACTGACACTGCCCTGGGGCCCTGAACTGATGCTACCCTGTATCCTTGGAGGAGGTACAGGGAAGCTGACCCTATCCTGTGTCCTTGGGCAACTGATGCTACCCTGTATCCTAGGAGGAGGTACAGGGAAGCTGACCCTATCCTGTGTCCTTGGGGGTACAGGGAAATGGAGACCATCTTGCGTGCTTGGGGGTACTGGGTAGCTGGCGCTATCCTGTGTCCTTGGAGGTACAGGGAAACTGACACAACCTTGCATCCTTGAGGGTACAGGGTAATTGGCACTACCCTGTGTCCTTGGAGGTACAGGGTAACTAGCACCACCTTGTGTCCTTGGAGGTACAGGGTAATTGGCACTACCCTGATTCCTTGGGGATTCAGGGTAATTGCCACTACTCTGCATTCTTGTGGGTAAAATGTAACTGACGCTACCCTGTGCCCTTGGGGGTACCGGGAAACCGACACTGTCCTGTATCCTTGGGGGTACAGGGTAAATAGCACTACCCTGCGTTCTTGGGGGTACAGGAAAACTTGCACTGACCTGTGTTCTTGGAGGTACAGGGTAATTGGCACTACCTTGATTCCCTGGGGATTCAGGGTAAATACCTCTATCCTGCATTCGTGTGGTTAAAAGGTAACTGACACTACCCTGTGTCCTTGGGGGTACAGTGTAACTAGCACCACCCTGTGTCCTTGGAGGTACAGGGTAATTGGCACTACTCTGATTCCCTGGAGATTCAGGGTAAATACCTCTACCCTGCATTCTTGTGGTTAAAAGGTAACTGGCACTACCCTGTGTCCTTGGGGGCACAGGAAAACTGGCATTCTCCTGTATCCTTGGGGGTAGAGGCAAACTAGCATTACCCTGCATTCTTGGAGGTACCGGGAAACTGGCACTACCCTGCGTTCTTTGGGGCACAGGGACACTGGTTCTACCCTCCATTCTTGGGGCCACAGGGAAACTGGCTCTATCCTGCATTCTCGGGGGTTCAGGGAAATTGGTATTACCCTCAGTTTTAGGCGGCACAGAGTACGTGGCATCGCCCTCAGTCGTTGGAGGCATCGTATCCTCTTCCTCCAAAGACGAATCCTTAAGCAGTAGTCGCAGGGGAAGGTAAAGACTCGGATTAGGTGCACCCCAAGACCATCCCTTTCTGTTCGTCACGCCTGTCAAGTATGGCCACAGGTGATTGCTGGGATGATTCGCCGCCCACATCTGCAAACAAGTATTACAATAAGAAATAAAAATCCATGTTTTCAGGAAAATGCAAAGGACAAAAGAACAATCTGAAGCGCACCCCACTAGTTTTTGCACTGTATTATTAAGACAATGATAAAATATTTGTTACATTAAAGACACGACAAGGGCCACACATACAGTAAAAGATAAAGCTGTATCTTGGTGGTATAGAAAACAAGGACCAGGAATGACTGAGTTGTGCTGGTCGCTGGGACCGCCCCGGAACCCTAGCTAAATCCTGAGCTATGTTCCTATTGGTAAGTCTGAGACCGTCTTGAGCTGATCACGCACACAAAGACTCCATCTCGAGTCTCCACCTGTGGTGTGACAGTTATTCGGCCATACAGGTGCGATCACGTAAAGTTGGTACACCCTGGGTTTCGACGAACAGTAAAAGCGGGAATAACGTTTTTATTCACATTCTCGTGCTACACATACACATACACTCACATATATACATGTATATATATGTATACACACACACATATATAAATAATGCAAAACTTGTGTATGTATGTATGTATGTATGTATGTATGTATGTATGTATGTATGGTATGTATGTATGTAGAGAGAGAGAGAGAGAGAGAGAGAGAGAGAGAGAGAGAGAGAGAGAGAGAGAGAGAGAGAGAGAGAGAGAGAGAGAGAGAGAGAGAGAGAGAGAGAGAGAGAGAGAGCGAGGGGAGGTGGCTGCGATAAAGTCTACATGGCGAGACAGCACGAAGATTGCACGAGCAACACAGCGCCCTCCAACGCCATGCCACGAGGAGCGCCTTCGCTGTTCACGTCGACACCGATGGCCACCTCCCGAAATGGTCCCAAACCTCACCCCCCCCCCCCCACGACCAAGGAAGATGGCATTAGCGGCGTTCATTCCCACAACGAATACCTTCAACACCGCTACGGCGAACCACGAATATCCAAGGGCGCCGCACACCCGATTACCGACGTGACCTGACCACCTAGTTCTGGGATATATACACCTATATGTACCTCTGATCATGTATGCCCTAATGAAGCAGTAAATGCGAAAAAGGCCTTTGGCATATTTGTGTTTTCCTGTTCTTCGCTCCGCTGCATACATATGCATTCATACGGATATGTACAAACATATGCGAACGCACACAAGACCTACAGATATATATACACGTACATACACTAGACACACAGACATATTACACACGTACATACACTAATACAGATACACATATACACAAGACATACACACATTTCACACATTCGTACACTAGACATACACATACATAACATACGTACACTAAACAGATAAATACACTTATACGTACATTAGACATAGACATATACATGTACATACACTAGGCATACAGACATATATACCTACAAGCACTAGACATACGGAGATATATACGTATGTTCACTAGACATACAGACATAAAGCCATGCATACGCACACTATAGACATACATACATATGCACACTAGACAAAATATATATAATATATATATATATATAATATATATATATATTTATATATATATATATATATATATATACAACACATATATATTATATATACCACACACATATATATATATATACACACACATATATATATATATACACACACATATATATATATATACACACACATATATATATACACACACAATATATATATACACAACACATATATATATATATACACACACATATATATATACACACACATATATATATATACACACACATATATATATATACCACACAACTAAATTATACTACA